CCTTGCTGCAGGGTATCAGTGTGTTTGGATTATGTGGAACTCGACTTGAATGACGCCGGCAATTCTTCCACACGCAAGTTGACTACCTACTGTGTAAGTGACATTGATGATAGTACGCCAGGCATCAACGGCAGTGCTCGTTGGGGATGATGACCTTGTCTTGCAAGAGAGCCGCCAGACCCGTCACGGTCCACGTGGCCCCGCACTGCTTGCGGAGGAACTCCTGGACAAGCGGCCACATGCACGCGCGGTCCTTTCCCCGGGTGATGGCCGTCAGCAAAGGCAAAAAGGTGCTCAGGTAAAACTGCCGCAGTTTGTCCTTGGCCAGTACTTCGGCACACATGGTGATGGCAGTCCTGTATTGCTTGCCATCGTCGCTGTCGCCATGAGCGCTGCTACGGTGCCTCGCAGGCTCGGTAATCTCCATCAGCTTCATGTAGCGCTGCTCGACCACGTCTTTCACCTCCTGATACCACACGGCTCGCGCCCGCCCCGAGTTCTCGATCGGAAAAAAAGGTCGGGCGTTCGGGTCCAAACGGAGCATCTCGAATACCGTGATTGGGTCGCTCGGGTATTCCACCAGTAGTTGTAAATAGCCGTGGGCGTTGCAAGTGGTCTGTAACTCCTTGGTCGTTTCGTTGTATTGCTCGTAAGGGATCTCGGGCTTCCCGTTGTTGAGGAGCCAACTACCGATGTGGATTGCATAAAGCCCCATTGCTACGGCCATGAGTCCCCCGGCTCCGGGAAGTCGCCTTTGGATGAGCGTTAGCGGTGAAATGACGAAAACATAAGGGCGCTCGAATCAAAAAGAAATTAGACTCACAGAGCAAACATGACGCGATCCGGGGACGCACTGGGAGCCTCTTGTGGATGCAACCACGTTGCAATGGCTTGACGATGACTCGGTGGTATTTTAGAGTGGGTGCCTAGGATTGTTTGTAGCTTGGAGGAGTTGGCTGGAAGAGAGATATCTTTACAAGGCTGGCTTTTGTGATCGCAACACCAAGAAAGGGGGGTAGCACAAAATGAACGATGACGCAGGAGCTGTGGGCAAAGATAGATGCGTACCGTTTGGAAACTATCCACTTGTACGATGGCAGAGACTGCTCCCAATCAACCCCTAGACTTCCCCCATCGTCTCCTGATGGTCTTTGCCCCTGAGCTTTTTGTTGAGGCCCACAGTCTGGAATATGCCGGAAGTGGTAATAGTGACGGCCACGATACGAACTCTTTGTCTTGGTGCTTTGGGTGGCTTTTTGGCAGTATCCACGTTTGCCTCAGTAACTGAATTCTTCGGCCTCCCTCTGAGGTGTTCTGGCTTCTTGCCGCGATAAATCCCCCTCCCTGCCAACAGCCCGCCCATCCTGCCCTCGCTGCCAACACGCGAGACTGATCCCAAGCTTTCGGTCCAATTTGCCAAACCCTCGGCCATCACCCTCACACCCCGCCTCCCTGTCCCCGCCCCATCCCCTTGCCGTCACTACAATATCAAAAGCAACAGACATGGACGAGGACCGGGAGCAAGAAGCAGATCCTGATACTGCGTTGGCCGACATTCTCCAAGGGCGCCGCATCTTTTGGGGCGGCCTCCGGGAGCTTTGGGTCTTCGTTTGCTCCATGCCCCCCTCGACCGCCGTCACCTTCCTCACCTGCCTTCTGGTTATTTGTCTAGGCATTGGCTGGTTCCTTACCGTCTTGTGGGACGTTCTGATGGATGTCACAGGGAGCGGGAACTGAATTTGGAGTCAGCCGTCGAAGGGTTTTGACGCCTTCGCCACACCGACGCGGGTTGCGTCCGGACCGCCTACGGGGGTGGCGGCCTGCGGCGCGTTTCTCTCTACACACCTGGCCTCGTTGGTGGCTGCTTCGGCATCCGCGCCTTGCGTCGCCTCACTCGCCACGTAGGCTTTTGGAGACCTAGGGCCAAAGGGCCTGAGGGATGTGGATATTTTCCGGGTAGACTGGCCGGCCGTTGCACGGAGTGCCAGCAAGGTCAACGCAACCATCATCGGCGACTTCGACAGGGAGTTGCGGCGCGAAAACCGGAGCCTTGCCCGTGTCAGCCAACTTACCAACGTGATTGTCGATAGGCTTCATGAGGTGTCTGACAAGAATCACGAGAAGGTGCATCAACCCGATCACTCACAACGCTTCACAGCTGTCTTCACAGCCATCTGGAGGACAGGAGGAGGTCCCAGCATCGAATCTCACCTGGCGGAGCACCGCGAGACCTGCCAGCGCATGGTTGGGTTGTTTTGGCGCCATAAAGCAGAATCAGGTTACGCACGACCACTTCCGCGCACAGGTCAACAGATTTGTCCAACTCCAGTCGCAGTTCCTTGATATGACCGTGCCAAAGTCCGGACAGTATAACCAGGAGGCGGACCGTTACCGCGGCCCAGATGCGTTTCTCGAGAAGGCCATCAAGAGGTTTAACGGGTTGCCGGACCGCAAGTCTGGCGACAGGGCGGAGCTGGCTTCGTTTGTCCGAGACCTCCACGCAGCACAGGGGGCGGCTAGCATGCTCACCCTGGCGTTTTCGAATACCATCAATAAGCTCCTCGAGCTGTCTTACAGAGCGGAGAAGGAGAGAGTCTGGATGCGAGATATGGAGCAGCGACTGAGCGTCCTGTCATCGGATATTGCGAATAGCCCCGATGCCGTGACCGATCTCCTGGTTGGTGCGAGAGGGATTTTGACTTGGGTCGAAGATTGGAGGCGCGCACGAGAGAAGCTGTATCCTCAGTCTCAATTAGATACGGAGGAATTGATGTGCGGCAGCATGGGTTTGATTCGCGAGTGGTTGTGCTATGTATGTACATGTACTTACTGGGCTCTGGTCTTCCTTTTACCTACTCGGGTAGTTCGTCGTTGTCTAGTGCACGAGAGTTTCTCTCTTGGGTTGCGGCGGCGTTCCGAAAACGGGCAACTGGGCTTTGGCTGTTTTGTTCTGTTTGGCGTCGCTAAATTACTACATTCTCGGCGACGGATGACAGGAGTATTCAGTTTTCACCCCCCCTTTCCCCTGATAGGTCGAGTCGTGACCACCCCCTTTGTCTCTCTCTTGTGCAGGAGTCGGTCGCCTGCCTTTCGTTTCCCTTTTCTACACGCGTTAACAGAATGAATATCACACCTAACTTGTGCTGCCGGCTCTTCTTGTGGTCGTATCAAACCGATATCTAGGCGGCTGTGCTCCAGAATTTGCACGCATTCCCGTCCCGCCTTGTTGGTTGCCAACCACGGCAGTGGCCATGCTTTCCTCCGAATCGGACCCGCCGCGCCGCGGGGCCAGACTTTTTGAACCTGGGCCCCATAAGAATGATGGCATCGACCACGAAGATGGAAGGGCCAATACTCCAGTGAATCCTACACAGGACGAGGGTGGCCGCGGCCGGCACCTTGCAAGCATCGAGACGGCATCGACCCAACCGCATGAACCCGGCCATACCCGTCACTCACACAGCGCTCGCCACGCTACATTTAGGGAAATATTACGATTTGGCGGGGGCCAAGAGGAAGGCAGAGCGGTAGAGTCATGGAGACACCCGATGGCGTTTCACTATCTCGCCCTCGCTAGTGTGGCCATCGGCATCTGCGCCTTGTTCTTCCTGGGGTTCCATTACGAGGGCAGTGTCAACGAAGAAAGCTGGGCCGGGGATTCGCGCGTCAACATTCCCATATCGAACTTACATCCGGAGGACCTCGAGATGGTCGCTGTCCCGTTCCCGATGGCTGACGTCGTGACCATGGCCGAAGTGTACACCAATGCGTGTTCCGCCTCCCCCGTCGCACCTCCAACATTACCCTCCGACTCGACGCGCCCGGCCTGGCTCGGGTGAATGTAGCGTCCTTTCTCCCCCGGGTACGCGTGGTAGTAGGATATGATAGGGACTACCGCAAGGGGCCGCAAACAAAAACGGGGCTCGTCAAGGCTGAGCACGAGCCATTTGTGGTTGATATGACCAACGCTACACTCACATTGGACTTACTCGAAAAGCTCTGGCCTGTGCTCATCCGTGTTACCACCGACCTACTGGACCTGGGCTTGGGGCGCAACCACAGCGACTACCGCACATTCAGAAACGACCTGAAGTCCCTTACCGATCCCGAAAAGCCGGTGCTTATCTCACGCAAACCGGGGCCAAGCCTGGTACTGATCACTCTGGCGAGTGCGAGAGACCTCTGGAAAGAGTTGTATTCCATGGCGGAGGGGTGGCCACGCACCGCTCACAGGTGGCTCCACTTCCTCCGAGTGTACATGGACCGCACGGAAAGGCATTGGCCAAAGCAGGAGCCGGGCAAGGGGATGCTTGGTGGCAACAACCCCTCAGCTCTAACACTCGGGTGCTTCCGGCCTCCCTCGCCCGCACAACTCCTCCGTCACGCCAGACGCCAGCACCCAGCCCACCAAACCCTCCCCGGACTCGTGGCTAGCTTACGCCTGTCCCGGAACGCGACGGTACAGGCATACCAGACTAAGGCCTTCTTCACCCGGATAGAGCCTCATCAGGGGGGCAAATCTGACCCTACCGGCCTGGAAGCCGACATCAATCTTCTCTGTTTCTCCCACCAGATGCTGAAAGTAGTCGCCTCAGCCCGCTGCCCCTCCCACCCCTCCGAGGAGTCGGTCCTCAAGAACCGCCTCCCTTACTGGGCCCTCTTCGGCAGGAACACGGGCTGCGGCAGCGGCAGCTGCTTGCACAGCCTGCATGACGCGCTCTGCGACGCCGAGCTGTTCCTGACGGCCTTCGCGGCCAAGGCGCGAGAGGTGCGGACGCGCGTGCACGACGCCGTCGCCGAACGGGGCGGCTTCTCCCTGGTCGAGCGCGCCGCCGCCGCCTACGGCCGGGACGACATCGTCCGCCGCGCGCGCACCCTCGACACCCTCGACGCCCTGCTCGCCTCCCTGGCGGGCATGGCCGTGCGGATGCTGCGGGTCTGTGCGCTGCAGAATGACTTGCGCGAGCGGGCCCGCGTGCTGCACGAGGATCGGTCGGCGTGGTGGGATCTGAGGTGGGATGATTCTCTAAACTAAGAATGCAAAAGAAGATACACCATGTTTCTTTACTGCATTTTTAACTACTTTACTAGCATAAAAAGAGAGGGAGGTGGTGGTGGTGAGCGTGGTGACGTTTCCTGGGCTGGAGGAGACTCGAGATGTTGCGAGAGACCCATGCGCGCATGACGGTTGAGTACCAGGCCATGCGGCCCCGTACGGAAGAGGCTGCTGAGCAGCTCAGGGCGAAGCTGTCTGAGGGTTGGCTACAGAGGTTGGGGTTGGACGACTTACCGCCGGAGGGAAACAGTCGGAGTAAGATTCGATGAAGAGAGAGCTGCTGGAGTCGTGGAACGAGAGGCAAGTCGTCGTCAGTCGCGTCACGTCAGCAGCCAAGTCTCGCCTCCTGAACAACCCACCCCTGAGCCCTGTGAAGTGAGGCTGTGTCACTGTGACCCTGTCTGACGCCTAAATTTATTTAGCGTCACACAAACCCCCGGCCCCTCCACGTTTCGAGGTTCCCTAGATGCAACAGTTTCTTCAGGGGTTCTCCAACTTTTAGTCTCAAAGTTTCAATCTCCACCCCAACCTCCAACCTCCACCATCTCCAGTCACATGCAGTTAAAAGGATGACCTTGTCAACGCTGGTCGTTGCCATCTCGCGGCGGGCTCGGCGCCTAGCCCGCCGCTATCGTCTCCTTCTCAGGGCCACCGCGCTGGTGCTCATCTTATGCTTTCTAGAAGCTCTGCTGCACATTTCCATGCACAGCATCCCCACCCCAGCCGAGGACCTAGACGCCCCTCTTCGCCAGACAATGTCAGGACCCGCGCATCGCCGCCGCCGCAACCCCGCGAGAGTGCCGCCCTCGTCATGCTCGCCCGCTCCTCCGAGCTAGAGGAAGCCCGCGAGACCATCCGCAACATCGAGACCCAGTTCAACCAGTGGTTCAACTACCCGGTCGTCTTCCTGAACAACGAGCCCTGGGACCCGGAATTCATCCGCCAGCTCAACGCCTCGGTCAGCGGCAAGGCCATCTTCGAAACCATCCCCGCCGCGGACTGGTCTTTCCCAGACAACATCGACCCCACCGCCGCCCGCCAGTCCATGGCCCGCCAAGCCGCCGCGGGGGTCTGGAACGGCGGCAAGGAGTCCTACCACCACATGTGCCGCTTCTACTCCGGCGCCTTCTACACCCAACCCGCCCTGGCCCCCTTCAAATGGTACTGGCGCCTCGAGCCCGGCGTGCGCTACACCTGCGCCATAACCTACGACCCGTTCGCCGCCATGGCGCGCCACAACAAACTCTACGGCTTCACCATCGCGCTGTGGGAAGAGCCCAACACCTGCCCCACCCTCTTTCGCGACGTCGACGCCTTCCGCCGGGAGCACCAGCTGCCCAAATCCCCGACCTGGAACGCCATGCTACACCTCCCGCTCCCCTGGTACCTCCAGCCCTACCCGCTCCGCAAGCTGGCGGGGCTCCTCGGCACCGCGCACACCACCACGCGCGGCGACCGCTGGAACCTCTGCCACTACTGGAGCAACTTCGAGATCGCCTCGCTCGACTTCTTCCGCGGCGATGCCTACCAAGCCCTCTTCCGCCACCTGGACGCCCGCGGCGGCTTCTACCACGAGCGCTGGGGCGACGCCCCCGTGCACTCGCTGGCCGCGCATTTGTTGTTGGAGCCGGGGCAGCTGCATCATTTTTCCGATCTGGGGTATCATCATGAACCCTTCTTTCAGTGTCCTGGGAATGCGCCGGGTGAGGGCCAGCTGCCGGGGAATGAGGCGTTGGCGGAGGGGGGGAGGGAGCAGACGTGGTCCGAGGAGAGGGAGGGGGATGTGGGCTGTCGGTGTCGGTGTCCGGATCGGAGGAGGAGGAATAATAGGGCGATTTGCTTGGAGAGGATGGGGAGGCCGGCTGCGAGGGAGAGGGTGGGTTGGTGGGATCGTTGGAAGGGGAGGTATCCGTATGCGATTGGGGTACCGTAAGGGAGCGGGGGAATTAGGATGTGAATATACAGGGTCACAGTACGGGCAGAGGACGGAGAGGGCAGAGGAATGCGTGAGGGATGATGTATGATTATATGAGGTCAGCTTCTAAACGGCGGTATAGAGCGTGTTGTTTAGGATAAAATGAATCAGGATACCTTATCCTTTCTAAAATTGCTGGCGTCGCTTCGTTCGTCAGTCGCGCGGCCCTTCGCTACGCTACGGGGCGCTTCCTTCCTCTCTCCCGCTCCTGGCAATTTTCCCGTCCCTCTCCGGAGGACAATCCGGGTTAGGGTTGAATACGGGAGAGACGAAGCTGAACTTATCGTAGGTCGGTTTTGCCGAGTAATTTCCTGCAATCGGCAGCGATTTCACAAGTGCAAAATGATAAGTAAGTGGATCCTCTAAGCGACCCGACCCCTAACCCTAACCCGGCTTTTCCCCCCTTTCCCCCCTTTCCCCCTTCTTTTTCCCCGGCCCCACTTTTCCCCTCTGGTCCAGGCCGGGCGAACGAAAGCCGAGAAGGCAATTGAAGGGCGAATACAGGGGACGAAGACGAATACAGAGGCTGCATAGTTATACACCAAGTCGATTCAATTTTTGTTTCCGGTACGGCTACGGCTATATATGTATGTAGTGGATGAGTGAGAAGAAAAGGGGGGGGGGAAAAGGAAAACAGAAGACAGCTCCGAAGGCGTCAGAAAGCGCCTCTGGCTCTCTGCCCCGTTTATTAGGACGCCCCGGCCTTCCCGGCCTTCCCGGCCTTCCTTCGGCGGCGCTGCTTCAGCATGACGTCTACAAGCTGGTTAAGACTGCGGCCCGCCCGCAGCCGCTCTAACTCCGCGACAGCCTCGTCCTCGTTTTGGCCGCGCGCCACGAGCGTGAAAATCTTGTCCCAAATAACCTTCCGACGACAGAATTGGACCCGAATCTTGCTGCCCGGGCGCCACCGGCTCCCCCACCGTTCCTCTAGCTCCTGTACAGCCGGCCGGCCGGCCACTCCCTCTTTCTAGTCCCTCCACACATCATTTACCGTATAGGCCTTCGTCAAAGCCGTAAAAATAGGCGGGCTCGGCTCGGGTCGGACAGCTAGGGCCGGGGGGACCGGGTGGACCGGGGGCACCGGGGCACCCAACGCATCCGAGACAGCCGGCCCACCCGGGTGCCCTTCTAGCGGCGATAGCGGTCCAAGGTATCCCGTAACAGTGATGGGGAGCCGGCCTTGGGACGAGGGCGTCTAGGCTCTCTTGGAAGCTGTTGAGCCCGGCTATCAAGACGCTTGAACTGGTCATCTAGCCGGTCATTCTAGCCGGCGTTTCTAGACCGCCGATCAGCCCGGTCGCTGTTATGCAAGACTGCGTCGCGGGGAGCTCTCGAAGCGCACTGATCTCGGGCAAA